CAGCTTAGAGATTTCTACTAATACATGAATTGTGACCTATATAGTAAAATAAGGAAATAACACTCAGACGACCATTTCAAATATTTAGGATAAACACATCTCATAAAATCCTTTGATAAGTCTTGTAGAATTTGTCATCGATCATCTGGAAACCCAAGTACACAATTTCAAAGATTCTATCAGTGGATTCACCAACAATATCGTGCATACACATATTCATCTTTAAGTGAACAATACTTTGAAGAAATAAGACAGTATTTCGACATTAATAATCCTCATAGTCTTGACATTGAACAAGCAGCAAAGCAGCAATCTTTTTAGTATTTAGCCTTGAATTCATGTGTTACTTTAAACCAGAAGTAATATATCAATATATCCTTATCACCTCACATAACACTAACCACTTCACTTACGGAGAAACCCCTCCACCAAATCTTACAAATATGGCTATGACAGTAGAGCAACTCAATACGTTAATAACGCAAATTACAACTAGTATGACTAACGGATTTAATGGTATAAATATTTCAGCACCACCTGTGGCAGGAAGTTCTATTGTAAAAGTCGACCCTTTTTATGGAAAAGATAGCGAAGATGCTCAAGAATAGATTGAAATGTTCTTAAGAACAAAAGAAGCTAATGGATGGCCAAACAATAGAAGAGTAGCAATTGCAGCAGGAATGTTAAGGGAAGAAGCAGCTGACTGGTATAATTTAGTAAGTACTACAATTAACAGATGAGAAGGAGATGCAAACACAGGATTCAGGGAAAGATTCCTAGCACGCTTCACATTACAAGAAAAATTACATAGATGGCAATACAAGCTAATGAATCTGAAATAAGAAAATGAAAAGGATGAAACCTATGCATCAAGATTTAAGAAGTTAGCAAATAGAATAAATGCAGGAGGAATTCCAGAAGCCTTTAAAGTACGAATGTTCTTAAGTGGATTAAATAAGGAACTAGCAACTTTAGTTGCAATTCAAAACCCAGCTAATTTAGATGCCGCCATTATTCAAGCTAAAACTGTTGAAACAGGAAGATATTATGCAATAGACCACGACTTTAGCAAGCCAAAAGTTGAAGATGACATTGAAAAATTGTCCAAACAATTCGAACAAATGGCTTTGAACTAAGCAAATATTATGGCCGCGTAGACTACTAATCCAGCTGAAAGAAAGAGTTATAATCTTAAAGGCAAACCAAAGAAGAAATTAATCTGTTTCAGATGTAGGGAAAAAGGACATATAGCCAGATGATGTCTCTCAGAAAAGGTTTTACCACAAGATAACTGGAGAATCAGAAATGGTGACTAGAATAGAAAGGAAGTAAATATACTTGAACAAGAAGTTTACCTAGCGATTAGGAAGAAGAGATCAGAATCGCAAAGAGAAACTAATACCAGACGAACACGATCTCAAACAATTAATGAACCAATGGAAATAATTGAGCAAATACCCCCAAACAGTGATAAACAATACTACCAAGCCTAGGAAGAGAATACCTAGAGGACTATCACTTTTGGATAATATTTAACCTTATAACATTTGGGACGACTTTGTAAATATTAAAGCTAATGTTAATATGGGACAAATAATACAATTCGGAGTGTAGCAACAAAAACTCCTTCAAGGGATGAGAAGACCTAAATTAAAAGGAAATGCAGTATTTACTAGTACTTCAGAAGAAGAAGAACGAATCATGGCATTGAGATGTCATGTTAAATTTAAGAAAAACCCTGTAACTGCTATCATCAATACAAGAGCTGCAGTAAGCATTATGACGCACAAGTTAATGAAGAAATTTGGACTAGACATTGATGAATTTTCATAAATAATTATTGTAACTGCAAATGGACAGAGAGAAAGAGCACTAGGAACTATTAAAAATGTGCCATTAATCATTCAAGGAATTCTCATCAAAACAACATTTCAAGTTATTGATTCAACTGATCAAACCTTGTTGTTAGGAATTGATTGGTACAAGAAAAATAAAGTTAATGTTAACTTTAAGAATAATGAAATGATCCTTACCTCTGGATTGGATAAAGCAATAGTTCCAGTACAATGTATCATTGGAAAAAGAATTCGAGCCGTAACCATTGAGGATGAACTTGACGAAATGATTGAACAAGGATTAGAATATGATGATGAAGAAGAAACGGATAGCTATATTGTCAAGATTGAAGAACAAGAAGAAGATACTGGCCTTTGGAATCAAGCCTGGGAGAAAAACTCAACTCAATCTTGGACTGATGAAGTAGAAGCATATGAAAAAGAAGTTAACCACCCCAAATATGTATTAAATATTTTATATGATAAAGATGGTGTATTTCTCTCAATCAGAAAAGGAAAAGTCATGTATGAAATGTGGCAATCTTCTGGAGGAAAAGTAGAAGGGAATGAGAATTCAATGAAAGCAGCAGTACGAGAAACTAAAGAAGAAACTGGAATAAAAGTCAAGGAAGAAGACTTAGAATATTTATTCAATGACCCAGAATTCAACTGCAATGTTTATGCTACAAAGATTCCTAAAGGAACTAGATTGGAACAAACTGAAGAAGATAAAAATAGACCCTGGATTCGTCTCAGTTTTCTAAAATATGAAGAGATAACTAAACAAGGAAAAACTACACTAACTTATATGACATTTATTAATGAAATATTAAATTAAATCATGTGGAATAACTTGCCTAATAGTCTTGCAGAAACTATGCAAGTGGAAACTGTAAAAGAGGAAGTCGTAACTCCAAAGCAACAAAAAGAAATTGGTCTTAATGGAAGAAAATAAAGACAGATTCGTCACTAATATCTCTGAGACTGAACAATCAACCAGAGTTGAAAGAACCAATGTAGCTCGACACAAAATCGATACAAAAAATGCCGACCCCATCAGGAAAAATTACTATCGAACGACAAAGGAAGAACAAGAATTTATTGATGGAGAAATTAAGAAGATGCTATGTGAAGGAATTATTCAAGCATCTGATAGTCTATGAGTATCACCTGCAATTCTTGTGAAGAAAGCGAATGGAAAGAAAAGACTATGCATCGATTATAGAGGACTCAACAAACTCACAAGGGAAGATGCTTATCATTTGCCTAAGATTGATGAAATTTTGGAAAACTTAAACGGAGCAAAATGGTTCTCAACATTCGACATAGCTAGTGGATTCTGGCAGATTGAAATGAATCCTAGGGATAGAGAAAAAACTGCATTCGTGATTAAAGGTGGACATTATAAATTTAATATTATACCTTTTGGTTTATGTAATGCTCCAGCGACCTTTTAGAAAATGATGAACAAAGTATTAGAGTATATCAACTGATTTGTAGCAGTCTTTATTGATGACATTATCATCTATTCAAACAGTTTTGAAGAACATTGTGGACACCTTCAAATGCTCTTTCACAAGTTGAGGAAGGCAAACCTTGCGTTAAACAAAGAAAAGTGTGAAATATTCAAAAGAGAATTACAATTCTTAGGACACAAAATTAATGAGTATGGAATCCTACCAGACCCTCAAAAAATAGAGAAAGTTCAAGAATTCCCTGTACCAAAGAATGTGAGACAAATTAAAGGATTTCTTGGATTGGCATCATATTATCGAAAATTTATCAAGGATTTCTCAAAAATTGCC